CAGACCCCAAATAAGTCAGAACTAACCTCTCTTCAACAGCCTCCTCCAGCAAAGAAAGAAACTGAATGGAGAACATTTGCTAGTAATAAGAATTGGATCTGCTGGAGATGTTTATAAAAAACACAAATAAATATACTCATGATATATAATAAATCTTAGTGGAACTCTAAGAAAAGGAACAATACCAAAAGACAAAAGAACATAAAATGCTTCTCAATATTGCTGAGGCTTTGCACTATTGCTGTTCTAAAGATACACAATTAGAGAAAACTTTTTTCTTACACTTCTGTTTTCTTTTGTTGTGAGAAGACCAAAAAAGAGGAAAGATTATATGTCAAAATATCCCCAGCAGCACTATATTTGAAATTGGAAACAGCCTAAATGTTTAACAGAGGGTGGAGTGTTTAAGCAAACAATGGCAGAGGAACAGAGGCATTGACTTTCTTGGCTGTTTAAAATTACAAATATGTGGACTCTATATTGATAAACTTAAAAGTATATGTACACAAGTGTGCTAAATAAAAGTAAGCTAAAAAATAACTAATTACAATAATATAAGGATCCAAGATCATTGGCTATCCCTCTAACATGTCTAATTCTGAAATCTAACACTCTAAACATGTAAAATTTTCAAAATACTTTAAATTTCCTAGCCTAAATTTGTATCCTAGCTGATACAAATATAATATTTTTGCCTTTGTACTAGTAACTGCTGCTTAGATTACAATATAGTGCTCTCAGTATAAAAATAAGACATTGTGTTTCTCAAGGTAGCTTTTAAAGCCTCCAGTCTGGCGGGGGGAAGGCCGCAGAAAGCCTACTGTGGATTTTACTATACATTAAAATTGCTGTGAATGATGTTTTTTGTTTCTCTGGAATTACTTTCCCATGAACACAATGGGGTAAAAAAACACATGCCATGTTCTGACTAACCTGCTCAATCTCTGCAATTGTAATATTTTAAGTGAATGAGTGAAGTACAACCTACCGCATTTAAAAAACAACAGTACTGCCTTAGAATTAAATATTGGATAAATCTGATACATATTCTTTACACATAATAAATATATTAAATATTTATGAAACTATTAAATGAGTAGAAAGATATTAAATTCCCTTATAGTAGATATGTGTTAATTCTAGTGCATCATGGGCTAGAGTCTCTCAATTCTGCATAAGCTGATCCCTGCTTCAACCTGCAATTAAGAAATTAAAAGACAATTTCCACCCCTATAAAGATACTCCTATAAAGACAGCTTTATATAAAATCAATTATTTTTTTACCCTACACAAAAAATAACTATTAGATTTTCAGGCACTTGATAATGATATACATCTGTGTTTATGTAGCATGACTCTCTAAGAATAAAATTAATTTTATACCCTTAATAAACTTTTCATATATTTTCTATATGTTACATTATAAACCAACTAAAATAATGTTTAATAATGGGTGGATGAAAGGCCAAAGACAAAGGCTATTGGGAAAGATCATGTTAATGTCTGCCTTACTTGCAGATGTCAATCCAATCCATATTGTTTGTTTAAATTATTCACTATTTTATAAGAACATGTGCCCAACACATTTGAAAAGTAAAACTCACAGTCTTAGTGCAGCAGTTATACATCTATGTGATTAAATATATAGATTTTCAATATATAGGAAACTATATATAAATTAAATATAAATTTATATAAATATATAGAGATTTTCTTATTATTTGTGAGCCACATATTGTGGATATTTCATACGTAAGGTTATTTATTTACATATCTGAATCAAAAGTTAAAAAAGCTAAAAATATGCAATACCATACTGTCATATTCAATAGTAATTGAAGCTTTTTTGTTAAAGTAGCTATTATGCAACCATTTCCTTATTAGCCATGACTAGCCAAAGAGGTTATGATTCTCAAATTATTGAGTTCCTTATAATTACTAGTCAAGTGCCCATTTATGAATTTGCATAAAATTTCTGAAAAGGTGTAATTACATGACAGTTATTCCCACCAATTCTTTACATAATCCCACTGCTAATAATATAGCATGAGAAGTCTTTGTTTTAAATTAGAAAGCAAAAAAGGCTAAGGATTTGTCAGATCAACATCAAATATTCCAAACACTCAACATTATGTAATTTGCAGATATGTTATCTATTTCTTGGCTTTTTATCAAAAATAAATGTTTTGGCATATAAAGAAACAAAAGACTGAAGCTATTTTCAGCTTTTGTACTGCCTGATATATTATAACTAGCAGAAAGTGAATTTTTAAATCACCAAATTTAATCAAACTGATGACATACATAACAACAGAATACGGGGTCAAGTTGGAGGAAGAATTTACACTCTCCCAGTAGTTGCACATTTTAAAACCAAAGAGTCAAATGTTAGATTTCACACTTAAAACATAACTTAGGAAGAGACAGATAGACAAATGGGGAAGAAGCGAAAACTCTTCCTTAAAACAGAACACCAACTGTTAAACACATAAAAATAACAGCTAGAAAAACCATCATTTTTCTACTTCCACAGTAAAAATGGATTTAGGCAAGAAAAATTTAATAGATGCTAATAGCCGTGGGCAAAGTTTTGATGAGTAATAGGACAGTGAGATTCTATCACACTATCTCCACCAATAGTTTATTAATTACAAAGAGAAAATCAATAACTTTATAGTGGAGAAATCCATCAGTCGCCACCTGCACAAAGGGATTAAAGTAACATCGCCAGTAATGTGTATCTTCATGTGATACACTGGGAAGGCCACAACTGCACCTCTGTGACATCCCTGCTAAAAATGTACAATCCAAATGTAATCATGATTAATCTATAAATCATACTGAGTAACATTCTACAAAACAAATATCCCACATACCTTAAAAATGTCAATGTCGTAAAGACAAAGAAAAAAAAGGCCTTTAGAATTGGTCCAGATTAAAGGTGAGTAAAAATACATGAAAGCTAAATGCAAAGTGTGACTATCCCAAACCAGGAAAAAACAATGCAGTAAAGGACATTACTGGTGCAACTGACACAATCTACAAAAGATTTATAGATTATTGTACTGTATCGATGTTAAATCCCCTGATTTTAATAATTATACCAAGTTTTGTAAGAGAATATCCTTGCTCTTGGAAAAAATAAACTGAAGTATTTAGAGGTAAAGGGGCATGTGTCAGTGACTTGCTAACGTATAGGTCACGAAAAAGGAGTGAGTGAGAGTGAGTGAGAGAGAGAGAGAGAGCATGTGTGTGTGTGTGTGTGTGTGTGTGTGTGTGTGTGTGTGTGTGTGTGTGTGTGTGTGTGTGTGTGTGTGTGTGTAGAAAGAGAATAAGCAAATGTGGCAAAATGTTAATAAGAAGTGAACTCGGGTAAAGGGTTTACAGCAATTCTTTGTACAATTCTTGCAACTTTTCTGTGAGTTTGAAATTATTTCAAAATAAAAAAATTACTTCTTGTTCTTAGGTGGGCCATTAGGGTAAGCTAGCAGTATCCCATCCAAAGGAGTCTCTTCTGCAGCATTTGTAAGTAACAGTCAATTCCTGCTAATACACTTCTGATGATAAGAAGTAGGCAGTCAGTGAAAGTTTACATATGGTCTCTACTTTAGAAAGGATTTCTGAAGTGCATTGCAATAAATGTCTCAAACTTGTTAAAAAAAAATCAGAGCTAGAAAAGCTAGATCCATGATAAAGAAGAATTAACTTAAAAATGGAGATCAAACTAGCCAAGGCAGGCTTGTTAAAGCTACTAAAGATGCCCTATTCCATCTGACCATGTTCCATTATCAGACCTATGTGGGAACAGCCCTTTAACAACCTAACTGTACCCTGAGATACCTCCTAATGCATGACTGCTGCACCATGTGGTTGCTTCTTTACTACAGTTATGAAAATATCCGTCTTTTAAATCCTGTGCTAAAGATCGACTACACTAGTCTTTCCCAAGGTGTGACAAATGGTAAGCCAGCTTGTCTTAGGCAATTACTCACTCACACAACTCATAGAACTGAGTCACATGGAGATTCTTTTCTCCATTCTTTTTCCTTCCTTTTAAGTATTTATTTTCACAGGTATTTCCAATATGTGGCAAGCGATGTGATCACTGATGGCAGTGGCAAAATGCTTCTTTTAAAAATACATTTAAATAAACAGAAAAAGAAAGCAATTTAAAGAAAAATAGTAAGTAAATAATAAAGGAGGGATATGGCACTTGCAAACGTAAAGGCTGTTATAAATTACTGAGGTTTAGAGAACTTTGAAGCAATGCAGATGACATTTCCAAATTTGATTTATAAAGCTAGAGAAGTAAATTGTACGGTTACAAATTACATGAAAATTCTTATAGCAAATGCTAACTGGCTGAAAACAGTTTCTTTTACATTAGTAAAGACAGTATTTTGAAAAGCACTCCCATGTTTTTTTTTGTTTTGTATTGTTTTTTTGTCTTTTTTTTCATGACCGGTAAGGGGATTGCAACCCTTGGTGTGGTGTCGCCTGCACCGCGCTCAAGCCAGTGAGCGCACCGGCCATTCCTACATAGGATCCGAACCCGCGGCGGGAGCGCCGCTGCGCTCCCAGCGCCGCACTCTCCCAAGTGCACCACAGGGTCAGGCCCTCCCATGTATTTTGAGATTATAGTATAAATCAAAGTAAAGTAAGATAATCCTCTAAACATATATAGTAAATCATCATTTTAACATTGTACAGAAAAAAAGAACTTGATGTCTCAATGTAAATATTTTAGTTCATAGAACAGTCTAAAAAATTTGAAGAAGAAAAATGGTGTAATCTACTGAACCCCAAATATTTTTTTATATCTTTCTTTGAAAACAAATATACCACCACCACCACCAACATAACCCTGATAAAGTCCTAAGGAAAAATTGGTAGGGTATATTTAGGCTATTTCAATTCTTTACAATCTTACAGACACAAAGAACATAACATGACATTAAGGAACAAACCTATGTGTCTGGTTACAAAATGCCAGGCCTTACCAAAGGCTGCTGGGGCTGCATTGCTTGGAGACCAAGGGTCTGACTCTGGGACTGCGAGGACTGCTGGGGCTGGGGAGGCTGCTGAGGCTGAGGGGGCTGCTGGGACTGCTGCATCTGGAAAGAAAGAAAAAGCATTATACACATAAAAGGAAGGGGTTAATATTTGTGAATTTCCCCATATACCTTTCATCTAAATATTCTGTTGCAGTAAAAACCATATATACCTGCCACCTCCAATTTTATCTTGCCAAACAAACCTTGTTCATCCTTTGAAGGCAAGACCTAAATCTGCTCCTTCATGAAGCCTTCTTGGAACACCAACCCCAAGGATCACCTTCGGCAGTCAGTGTTCACTGTCTACACTACCCTACACTGTACAGGGACATTCTTCGTGCTTACTGTTTTAACTTCTTTCAAGTCACCTGCCCTTCTACATGTTTTATCCTATCTTCTACTACTGGATTAGACAAGGATTGCTCAGTAGTTATCTTTTTATTCTCCGTTACATCTGGTAGAATGCTTGTGGACTGGATTGCTTTTTCAAAGGAACATGTAAACTAGCTCCTATGAGAAGATCTGGCATAAATTACTAGCATAAAATCAGAAACTGTGTCAGTGACAAAGCTGGCTCAAATACATAGCTCTTAGAAAACACTTTCAAGTCACATAAGAAACACAAACCAGACATCCACCAGGTGGGACACAGAGGAAAGGAAAATATTAATAGGTGTTTGGTCTCAATGACCTTTAAGGTTTCCTCCAACCAGGCACTTCCTCCAGATGATGACAACCCAGAATTTTTTCCATCCTTTGCATTTTTCCAACTTGGTTTGCTTACTATCTCCCAAGTTATATGTCTTCTGTAGAGGAAGGTAATAAACAGCTACTGCTAGATGGCATTTCTCACTAAGTGACAGAGCTCATGGATATGAGATGCTAGCAGAGGTCTGGGCAGTGTCACTTCTAACATGAACAATGCAACTGGGCCAGAAACAGTGATTACAATATAAAGTTGACTCTCCATTTGGCTCTCTGCAAACTCTTCCAAGAAAATTTAACCCAACTTCATAATAATTAACTTTTTCCTTTACGAAGGTAGCCAATCACAAAAAAGGAGTAAGTAAAATCCTGATGCAGAAGCAAATCACTTTTATCTCTGGGAAATGTGTTGGTGACAAAAAAATTACAAGGACATATTATGCTAATTGGGATAAAAAATACACATTACCCAATAAGGAAAGATTTTCTGTATTTGCTGCCTTGAAAAACCCCAATATAAGATAGAAAGTGATCTGGATCCTCAGTGATTTGGAAATAAGAAATTTTAAAAGAGGAAAAAATAAATATCAGACCTAAAAAAATTCTAAAACATATCCTCAGAATTTAGGAAAAAATGAATATGATTTAAGGTAATATCACTATGAGTATTAATAGTCACATTAATGGCAATATTAATAGTAGCATTAGCAAACTAGTGCTTTACTTGAATTTTCTTATTTATTCCTCACTACACATTTAAAAGGTAGGTACTATAATTATTTCCATGACAAAACTGGGGATTAGAATTTTTACCATCTTAGAGATAACATTTGTACGAATGGGACTGGCCATCTGCAGGTCACACTCCCCCAAACCAATTACCATATGTTATCAAGTTTGTGATGCAACTTTTTTTTTTTTTACATCTTAACAGGTCAGAAATTAGGATGCCACTAATGACATCTTATAACTAATAGTATCTTATAATTGTGAAGTCCAGTTCCACAGAGGATCTGTGTTGGCTTCAGCCTGTCACACAGGGATATTATCAACCAGAATTTTTTGGATCACACCTAATTCAGACCTCAAACCCACTTGAGATTATGGTTCAAATTCTCAGGTGAGGGCCGGCCCGGTGGCGCACTGCTACAGTGCGCCGCTTGAGAGCGCGGTGGCGCTCCCGCC